GAAATACGTTGATTTTAGCAAACTGTTTTTAGTTTCAGACAGCAACGGATGTCTGTTTTCCCAAATCAATATCCTCGTTATCCCTCATTTTTTTTAAGGTTTTGACATCCGGTTCGACTTCAACCTTCGTGCGGACGCCTTCGATAACAAACTTTTGTTAGAGAGACATCTATAAATAACTTAAGTAAAATTGTCAAATCAAGGACGAGAAGCCTCCCTCTTTGTCCCACCATTTTCTTGTGATGCTTTCTGGAAAATATCACATACGTTTACAAGATGAGTGATCCTTCCACTCGCATCCCGGTTTACATTTACACTGGAAATGACCTGGGTAATTGCTACACGTAGTTGTCGTCTTGTCACAGTCGTCCTTTCCTTCTTGACACTCGTCAATATCTAGGGAGTGATAACGATAATGATATTCTAATTTGTTGAATTTATGCTTGGTATCTTAGACAAACAAACTATTTTCTATGGAAACAAAGCTGGAATCTACTCGAGCTGATATCTATCTAATTTTGACCAGAAGAGATGTTTCTACTTTGGGCTGCAATAATAATGATGATGACGATGAAAGGGTAACAATGATGACGCTGACATTAAAGATACCAATTATTATGACGTTGATGATAATTAGCAAAAAAACCAAATTCTCGATCAAATTGGTAACAAAGCTAGGAATAAATATTACAAAATAACCAAAGTAAAGCGCGTACTCTGATTGGTCAATTCAGCGTCCACCATTTGCCCATGGGTGTACGCTGCTGACGTGAGCATATGCAAAGACTAGTTTTCCGCGCACGCTTGTTTTTTCTGGTCACATAAGATTTGTTAAATAGAAGAAAACTCTTTTGCTACAATGTATCAATGTTATGTTATAACACAAATGGTAAACGCCACAGTGTATACTATTGAGTTATGGATGCATGCGGAGGTTGCAAAGCACTCAAGAAGCTAGAGTCGCTCTCCGCTATCGCCTCGCGCGACTCTTACGCTTCTTTCATGCTTAGCAACCTCCCGCGTCCATCCATAACCCATTAGTGTCGCGCTGTGGTGTTTATCATTTGTTAAGTGGTTTTTTTTTCCTTCCATTAACCCTTTGATCCTTAAGAGTGATCGGCCTCTAATTTACCTAACAGTATCACCCTTGAATCAATTATTTTACCTTACTTTACTTTATTGAAAGCGGGAAGGACAGTTTTCTAACCTTCGGCCCTCATCCCACCCCAGCGGAGGACATTCATCACACTGTAATCACGTGCTTGGGAAATTAACGTCTCCTACCCCTAAGCTGCGGGAGACGGGACCTCCATTTATTCGTCCCTACCCGAGAAGACTAGAACATCTCACCATTTCTTGATGTTATAGAAAGGTAGCATATTTTTCTCTGTTATTTTTAAGACCTTGAGTGTTTGTCCGGCCAGGAACCGAACCCTCGACCTCCCGCACAACAGCCCAGCGCTCTATCCATTGAGCTAACTGGGAGGCGGTTGCATTAACAAGAATAAAGAAAATTATCACCAAGTAAAGAAGCTCTTGATTGATAAAAAGGTTTTCCTCGTCAGAGGCAATAGCAATGCATTGAGAAAGTTAAGGAGAATTCGGATGGTGATATCAGAGACATTGCCAGATGCCTTGTGTACCAACCTGCACAGCGGTAACCATCGACGACTCGAAGGCCACTGCGTCGACATGCGCAATGAAATGAGCCATCAGTGTTTATACAATCCTCATCACAGTCGCCATTGTTTGATCGACATTCATCCACATCTGAAATAAATATTACATAAAAGCTGAATAGGTGGAGATATGTTGCTTAACATTTGTAAAAAGGTACAACCCTGTTTACAAATGGATAGGGAACCAGTCATTGCTTTTCACCAGGGGGTGTTGGAGGATTTTGAGGTGGGTCTCATGCTTTTCAGGGGTAGATACGAAGGGCAGAATCGGTTTTCGCCGACAGAGTATAAAGAGGGATTATTAACTGCTAATTAGGTGCGAATCATAGGAAAAGTACAGAGCCTTTTAGAGGGATCAAGTAATTTTATCTTCACTCTACCGAAATCCTCCCTCTTCCGCCACATGATAAATAAATCCACCATTCCCACCTCACGTGATAAATAAATCCACCATTCCCACCCCACGTGATAAATAAATCCACCATTCCCACCCCACGTGATAAATAAATCCCCCATTCCCCCCGTGTTAAACAGTGACTGGTCCCTGAGTTGTTCCTGGAGGCTATCTGTTACGGAGAACTTCAGCTGTATAAATATCTCTAGGCTTACCTTCACAGCGGTTTTTATAGTTTGTCCTGTACCCTAGAGGACAAGTACATGTGTATGAGCCAAAGTTATTTTGACACGTGGCAACTTTGTCCGCACAGCCACCAGACTCCAGACTGCATTCGTCGATGTCTTGAGAAAGTGAGGGAAATGGGTTAGAACATGAAGGAAAAGCACTATTGATAGTTTGAACAGATAGTTGGCCGACTCTCCGTCCCAATCCCCTGAGGGTAGTCAGGGAGTCTCTTCGCTCCAATCCCTTAGGGGTCACATGGGAAACTCTCTCGCCTCCGCGCCCTTCGAGGGACAGGAGCGGGAAGATGCTTGACAACCAGACTATGCAGTTAATTATTTTCAGCTCCTCAGCTTTTTCAAAAATGCAATTTCGAAATTATTCTTCTAATATTATCCTATAATCAGCTGAACTCACCGACACATTTCCCATTTGATGCCTTTTTAAAACCTTTCCTACAGTTTACTGAAGAAGAAAGAAAACACCCATGTATTATATCAGCAAATTGACGGCACGCCTTCAGCTATCACGCGATCTCAAAATTAAACCATTACTGTCACTATTAATCATGAATGTCACAATCATTATTATTAATTATACCAACTGATTAACAAGGGGATCGTGAGGTGACGCAGTTACGAAATGATTTTGGAGGGGAAGGTCTCGGATGGTGCCTAAACTCTGAGAAAATCAAATTTTTGCGTTGTTGGGAAAGACACTTTACCGTTTCCCTTGGTAATTCTTAAAATTTCCACCCAAGATTTTCCCAGGATCGAACTCCATATAGCATGTTGGCTGAGCATCAGAGTGTATATATGGTTTCCAGCAACTGGACAAATTGTTGGGGTTACTGTACCATTCTATGGATGAGCATCACGTTTAGGAAGAGTAAAAATACACCTAGTCATTGGAGAAATTTATATTCCTGGCATGGACTTCGGCGTAAAGCGTTTGTAGGACTAAGCCCTTCAAGAGAGAATTCTCTGTTGACAATTTGGTCTCGTACAACACAGTTATGTACCGTAATACTCATGAGAGATAGTATTCCATTGGTATTTTACTTCTTTGTCGAAAAAGAACTGGTATCTTTTCCGAGACGTAATTACAAATATCTGCAGAAACAGAAAGTCAAAGTAAGTTGTAAGAGGAGTATCAACACCTCTTTATGTTCGGATTAGTTTTGAGTAAAATGATGTTGACGATGTAGTCACGAGTGAAAACAATCATTTTTTTAGCCAGCAAGCGCAGAGTATTCCTTTCGGAAACTTTTTAGTTGTTATTGTAGATCTTTAGGCAGAGGAAAGCTGGAGCAAGAGGAAGAAATTTCTACCGGAGGAGGGGGGGAGGGAGAAAATACAACAGGCACGCAGTTTAACGCTGATAAATTGGGCTCTGCTTTCAACATTTATAAGTATCAGACTTATTTTGGTTGATGGAGAAAACAGGACAGGTGTAGATTTAAGCGGGATATAACTTGGTTTCACATTACTCTACCTGGCTTACCCACCAAGAGTCTTGATAATCTCAGGTGTGTACAGGCCGTATTTTGATAACGGAAAGTTTTCCAATATCTCGGTCTGTTATCGTAAATTTCATGGTGCTGTTCAATGGAGATCAAACAAGTTTGTAACTGGCATAATGCAACAGTAGTAGAACGTGACTATCAAAAACAGATCTCTCGCATTTTCCAATTGATTTTAATCCCTTCTCTGTTGTTTTCCGAATTCTCTCGCCTGTTACAACAGGGCGGACAGAACTCTTCTTTCTTTTTTGTGCATATTAACCTAATAGATTCCGCCGGGTGGTTTAGATTTATCAATTTTCAATACATTCAATTGACTTTTTCGCGTAAATTGGCCCTTTGAATTTCTTTTTATCAGTTGCTGAAAAAAAGTCCCAACTTTAAGCTTCCAAGGGTTTGAGAGAGACTTTATGCATTTCAGCAATTTTGCTGCGTTTTAACTTCAAGTTCCCAGATCGTTCCAATAAACTATCTCTTTCTATACGAGTTTAACTGAACTGTGCTCCGACGTTAATTAATAAGCCTGGAAAAAGTGATGAAGTTCCGCTTATGAGGCCGTCCGAATCTTCCCTATCACCAAGTGCACGTGTGTGCCGCACGCTCATTAAATATGTTTAACACTTGCCTGCCACGGTCAAACGGTCCTGGGAGATCGTGAACCTTTGTCTGAGCACCTCCTTCACCCACCAAAATGACCGAAACCTTGTCATTAGTCCCATAGTAACGCGTAGACACACAAATTCGATACACTAGCAAAAAAAAAAAAAAAAGGAGAGGGATGAGAAAAACGAAAAAAATACATTCTTATCGTTCAAAACTTTTCGAGTAGGAGAATTTTTTTGGTGGCCGAAGAAGAAACTGAATAGAAAGCGTAGTGAGGATTCAAATAGTAAGAGGGATTTTTGCTCCATGGCCTCGAACTTCGGCATATCTCTTTATTAAACAAATTTTTCCTTCAAAACTGACCTTATTTAAACGGTTTTTTTAAATAATCACGACACCCTTTCGTACTGGTCATTTGGTAACGAATCAAAAACCGCCCTTAAAAATCTCGTCCACCTCTTTGTTTTTCCTTTCTATAAAAAGTTTATCATCGTCTGCTTCCAGGAATTAAACGTGTGAAACAAATCTGAACCTCACAAAGCCTCATCGATTGACCGCGTATGGTTGGTTTGTTTTCTAGCGGGGCTCCCAAGCGCGCTTCGCCATGGAATATGGTCAACCTCTTTTCGTTTGGTTGTCACGTGACTGACCGAGCGTACGCACGTAGGTATGTAAGTGCTTTCAGATTGCACGGGTAGGGTAGGGAAGACTATCAAAACGAAGGAAGGGGTGTCTCAGGCGAGTCTTGGCAAATGCACATCTTTTATATGATTATCATTAATATTACGAACTTGGGAGCTCCGCTTTTAGGCTTTGCTAAATCTATATATTACAGTTCTTAAGCGTCATGAAATGCTTCAACAATTTTACCGAGTAGGACTGTACCAGTAGAGTTGTCGTGGGTGCGGTTTAAGGCTTGTTTAAACAAAGAGAACACAAATGTATTGCAAATGGTCTACGTCCACACAATTTGCTTGAATAAGTTGATACCAAAGGCAACCAAGATCGCGGCTGAAAATTGGTTCGTGCGGAAAGATTTGGAGATCGCCTCAATTTAAAATTATTTTTTGCGCGAAAGCTAGTTTTTCGGAAACTCCGCATTGTACAAAGATTAATATGTTATGAAAACATAATCAACAAAAACAAACACAAAAACGTTTTCTGGAGCTGTTAACGACGATCCTAATAGTTTTGATCTTAATTAACTAAAAATTGATGGTTCGAGATCATGAAAATTCATTTCTAACNCGAGCGTCTTCGTCATCTTGTAAAACGGAACACTCGAGCCTTAAAGTTAATTACAGATACACCTTTAAAGAATTACCTTGTCTTACTGATATAAGAGTTGTTCAAATAAAAACTGCTTCAAAAATAGTCATTAGACTGTACGTGGAGGTTTATCATAACCTTCGGAAGCTTGTACCCGAATAAAGCTAAGAATCGCGAAGAGTAACAGGTGAGCCATTGCTAATGATGCCTAGCTGGACCACTCACTTCACCGCTACCTCGACAACTTACAAAGTGATCAAACGATGCTTGGTTTTGTAATACAAAGATCAAAAAATTTAAACATGCAAATTACAGCCAATTCTACGACAAAAGTAACCAGCCAATCAGCGTTTATTTACTACAATCCCTTGCGGAGAAGGAACTGAAGTCACTTTCTTAGCAAACGAAGAGATGCAAAAAAATTTGCCTTTTTATTTGAATTTTTTTGTGTATTTTTGTAGGTTTCTTGACTTACGTGGGAATTTGGTTTCCGAGGCGGAGCAAGGTATGTAAATCATTAATTGCCTTGACAAATACTTCATTATGTGTTCATCGGAGCAAATTCAAAATTATAGAGCCCGTATTCTCAAATAAAATGAAAAAAAACAGCACTGTTCACGAGAAACTATGAATATAACATTTTTTGCGCAGTTCAACGCTGGACAGAAAGGACAGAGGGCGTGCTGTTTCAGACACACAAGCTCTCCATCCTACGGAAAACGTTTTTATTTTTTTTTCAAACGACATACATTTAGCTAGCTGCGTCTGATTTTGTTTACTTTACGTTAATAAGAATGCACTATTTAGGTAATTAACAGAACTGTTTGGCAACTGTCGAATACAGAGTTCTTGTAATTATTTAGAATTCTAAGAAAATACATTTAATACCAAACTACCTGATGTAAGTGAGAGAAACCGTTTTCAATGCGACCGTCTTAGTGAACGAGAACTAATTTGAATGGAAGAGGTCTACCACACTGTAGAACAAACGCGATTTGAGATGGATGGGAACTTTTCCAGCTGTCAACAAGTGTTTTTTCAAATGTGCGTAAACGAAGATTAATCTTCAGAACCTTTTACTGTACAAATGAGTTTTTCTTTCGTAACTCAGTGTCATTTGTTAATAATAATAATAATAATAATAATTTAATATTTATATTGCGCAAATTAACATGTGGATATGATCAAATGCGCATCACAACACTGTTCGGGGGACTTTGGCCAGACTGCATCAGCAGTTTACAAACAATCGAAGGAAACTTANTTAAAAATGAAATAATAAATAAAATAATGGCAAAATTTATGCCAAAATATGTCTTCGAAAAAATATTTTATTTTGTTTTTGTTGTTGTTTTTTTTATTTCTTTTTCCACTTTTCCTTTTTCTCTTTTTATTTTCTATGCCTAACGACGAATGATTAAAACCAATGTTTCCCTTGTTTTTTAGACACACAGGTGATCAGTTTTCCATAATTGCTCATCTAATTTAACTTTATCAGGCACCATCGTGATAACCTCTACAATCATGACAAAGAGGCTTCAATAATCATGAACAGAAGATCACATTTTCAAGAGGTCAGAATAAGATTTCAAGGACGTAAATTTGCATCCAATTGTTGCTGTTTATAACTGCCACGAAGGCGCAATTAAAAGGAGACAAGATGGCTAAGTGAATTTTCAGTTTACTTAAATCCTCATGCGCCCTTTAATAAAACGACTTTTATTCAACTCATTAGTGTTGATCTCCTCCATGGCACGTTCCAAGACAAAATTACCATTTGGATTGCTTAGACTCTGTGTCAAAGATGGCTTCTAGAAGTTAAAACGTGACAGAGATAAAAAAAAAATTAGCAAACTTAAAAACAGCTGAGAAAACAGTCACATAATTTCACAACGAAAAGAAAAGATATTGATTATTTGAAAATATTGATTATTTGAGTGGAGCTACAACGTAGTTAAAGAGTTAAAGATGAACTCGACGACTTCATCAAATGGTAGCGAAGAGTCAGTTCAGGGTGTGTTCCTTCTTGGCTTAATAATCATTGACTTCGTATTTGCAACAATTATCATGACTGCAAACAGCTTTCTCTTCTTCACAATTTACCGCGACCCATGTCGATGTTTGCGTACGCCAAACGTTTTTCTAATTGCAAATCTCTCCTTAGCCGATTTTTTTATGGGATTTGTCAGCTTTCTGAGAGGTTTCGAACTTACCTACAGGTATCGTGGCTTAGAGGAGCTTTTAATCGTCAACATCACTCAATATTTCATCGGAGCTGTGTCGATTCTAGCTGCTGTGTCTACGCTTTTGGTGATGTCTTACGATCGGTATGTTGCTGTTATCAAGCCGTTTGAATATCCGCTGAAAGTGACGAACACAAGAGCGAAAATCTTCATCTTTGGTATTTGGACAAGTGCGCTAGTTTTCTCCGTACTTCCAGTTTCAGATGTGAGGAGAGAAACATTTTTGCTTGCCTATTGTTACTCTCATTTCGTGATCCCATCGTTCCTCCTAACAACAATTTATGTGAAAATATACAAAACGATTTCCCTTCAAAGAGAAGAGCTTAGAAATGTTCGCGCCAGTCTGACAGCAGGGAGCAGAAGGCAACAGTTGGAGAGAGAGAACAGAATGGTCATGGCATTTATGATGATTCTTTTGATATTTTAATTGTCATTTTTTCCCTACTTCGTCCAGGTGCAGATTCTATATTTTTGTTCCTGTCGGACCTCTTACGCATACAGGGTTTATTATTATGTGGCAAATGAATTTCTCTCAGTGAGCTCCATGGTGAATCCCTTTATGTATGCCTGGAGAATTCCGAAGTTCAACCGCTCGCTTCGACTGTGTTTTCGACGCCAAAATGCAATCGGTGTGTTGAACACATCCAGTACTTTGAACCAAGTCAAAGCATCAACTCATTGACTTAATCGTATCTTTCTAATACTGATTTTTATTTAATTCCTTACCCACCCCCTTCGAGGAAATCCAAAAGTGTACAGAGTTAAGGTGGCCGCTTTACAAATTCGACTTAGTTGATATAACCAAATGACCTTGTTACCCCCACCGAAGAAGCACCACAATTTCTTTAGAAACTTACCGGTACCCCCTTTATTCATTATTACTAATAAAAGATTGAAGCAAGTTATTTTAAACTTTTAGACAGCTTAATGGATGTTACAAAGAGCCTTTAAGTTTTGGCTTTTTTTGTTAATTCACACACCAACGCGAAAAACAATTTCATCTACGAGTAAATTATAGTGGAACTGTGAACAAAATTTAAGGAAAAAAACGAGACTTCAAGACCCACGAATTTGGGATTAAAAGTTTGTCATCAACTTGGATATCTTTCTTAAATAATTTTTGTCTTTGCTTTTCTCTTTTTGCTTTTAATTTTGAACTGAGCATGATTTTAATTAAATTGAAAATTAAAACTCCTTTAAAAAAGCTGACATGGCGCGGATGTGTATAATTTAGTTGTGACGTCCTATAACCGATAAGGCAATCCAGCACGCCTTATAATCTTTTTTCCGTTTTGATTGAGATAAGAAAACCATTAACAATAGGACGGAAGCGGCAGCTTTTGTGGATTGTTTTGTAATCAAACGCAACTGCCATCTTTTCTACAACAGCTGGTATTTAACTTAGCTATCACGCAAAAAACTCTTTCTACTCAACTCGCATGGTAACAACAAAGCACAAGTTTGAAAAAATTTTCTATGTTAGAAGTAAGATTTTCCCAAGTGTTTTGAAAAACAATATTCTATAAGACCAAATATGTGGTTAGATTTTTCCATATTTAGAGCGAACAGTTCAGCGTGTACTAATGTGTCATGTGTCAGTCAGTGTCATTTGGAGTCGCATATACAATCATGTCACCTACACTTGTTATGAAAAGTTCTATGAATACTCAACTGAAGTAGGAACTGAACAAATAGCGTGTCTGAGTGGTTTCAACAATCGTGTCGCCTGGGGCTCGTTTCTCTAAGGCCCTAGTGACGGCTTGAGGCCATCTTTTAAAATCAAAATTGAGAAAATTATGAAACAGGTTTGGCATCCCAACCAGTCCTTTCTTTTTTTTGTAGCTGATAGTTTTATGCCAGTCCCCTCTATTAACTATGTTTATGGTATAATTTTCAAAGCCTTTGAAACCCCCATCGTGAATGAAAACGGTACCTTTCAGAGCTCTATGGTGATTAAAAGG